GAAAACGTTGAAAGACATTTCACCTGCGCCTAGGTCTTTTGTCTAAAAAAATTAGCTCTTTCACTTTGTTTCATATGGGGAGTAGTTGAAAACATAATAAGTCCTGTCATTCAAAAGTTATGTTTCGAAACATGTCCAGCTCTTTATCAAGTTAGGATCAACTAACAGTAGTTGCTTTGCTTTTAAATGGCAGGAGCTATTATGTTTTATACTAGCCCCTATGCAAAATAAGGTAAAAGAGCTATTATTTAAACAAAAGACCTGGGTGTGGGTACGGAATATCTTTACATCCAACATATTTGAGGATCCTCTGCCTGGTCAAAGGAGGTTTCATCCTGGCACCATGCATCGGCTAACGAGTCCACTTCAGAATTACAACTACATAGTGTTAAACACAATGTATGGAAAACTGTGTATTTAAGTTTGTAACTACTAAAGAGGTACTGTATATCATAAAATGGTCATGGTAATGTGTCTGTTTTAAAGCATTGGGGTTATTCAGCAAAGAAGCCCAGAAAATAATGCAAACTGTAACCCATAGTGAATAATCATATTAACCACTTAAAGACTGCCCGCCCGCAATGTACTGCAAAAGGGCGGCAGCTACAGGACCAGCGATGTACCCGTATGTCGCTGTGTTTTTCCAGGTTTGGAGCATGCACCCCCTGCTAACCCTTGCTGTCATTCACTGTCATTCGCTGCAGGACATGTTTTGTTAGCAGGCCCCGGCCAAAACACTGATCTCCTGCAACGAATGGAGACACAGAGCTGTGCATGTATTTGTAAAGACAGGCACAGGATCTAGCCGGATCTTCTCTTCCTGGAATGAAATGACACACCACATGTGAGTAAGGCCTGTAGTACACATGAATTCACCTAGTCGTTAAGCTCTCCTGGCAGTAGAAAAACATTAAACGTGGCAAAATCGCGTGTAAATGCGGTACCTCGTTTAGCCACATTTATCCAAGTTTAGCTCTTGGAAGTTTATGCATTTGATTGGCCAGAGTATTTTCCATTGACATGGATAACCTTCCAAGCACTAAACGGAGCTAATGTTTAGCCATTTTTAGCCAGGTTTACACGCGTTTTTGGCATATTTAGCATTTTTTGGTCAAAACATTTCTCGTCTGAATGCGATTATTCTGTGTTCAGAAGAGGAACATTTAACTGTCCCTAAACTCTGCTGCTCCTAAACTCTGGTAAAAGCCTACGTGTACATGGACGCATAGGCTTTTATTGAGTTCAGAAGTGAAGCAAAAAAAGAGCGCACCAACCTTGCACATTACCTCAGTAAACTATGAATTTATTAAATAAAACATATACAGTTGTGTTCAAAATAATAGCAGTGTGTTGAAAAAAGTGAATAAAGCTCAAAATCCTTCTAATAGCTTTTATTTCCATACACACAAATGCATTGGGAACACTACACATTCTATTCCAAATCAAAACATGAAGAAAAATATATCAAATTTGTGTTGTTCCTCTAAAAAAATTGAAGAAAAGTGAATATTAGACTGTTCAAAAAAATAGCAGTGTTTGTATTCTTCATTACAAACTCAAACATTCACTATATAAACTGAAAAATGTTTGAAGATTTTGCTTTCCTTTGAATCACTTAATTAATATTTAGTTGTATAAGCACTGTTTCTGAGAACTGCTGTAATTCTGTGTTGCATGGAGTCAACCAACTTCTGGTACCTGTGAACAGGTATTCCAGCCCAGGATGGTGAAAAAGGATTCCTTGAAACAGTTCCACAAATGCATGAAAGGTTGTGTAGCACTAAAACAAGGCTGGGGAAGCCCGACCAAAACGGTGAAGTGAAGCAAAAAGAAAGAGTGCACCAACTTTGCGCATTACCTCAGTAAACTGTGAATTTATTAAATAAAAAATATATATATATACACTCACAAACAAGTATATATATTTCCTTTGAGGATCTGTTTATGCTTGTTATACTTCCTTGTTTGTGAGTATATACAGTTATGTTCAAAATAATAGCAGTCAGACATCATTAACCTGATCAATCACTGTTTTTGGTAGAAATGATATTCTACATGGCAAATAGCTTACTAGCAGGTGTAGTAGAGTAATTGAAATCCAACAGACCCAACAGTCATGACATGCATGCTGCTGATTCTGTGTAATTGAATCACTAATTGAAAGGGGCATGTTCAAAATAATAGCAGTGTGGCGTTCTATTAGTGAGGTCATTCATTCTTTGAAAAACAGGTGGCAATTATTGCCCTTATTTAAGGAAAGAAGGCAGCAAATGTTGTACATGCTGGTTACAGCGCATTTCTCTCTGAAATTCTGAGGAAAATGGGTCGTTCCAGACACTGTTCAGAAGAACAGCGTACCTTGATTAAAAAGTTGATTGGAGAGGGGAAAACATATAAAGAAGTGCAGAAAATGATAGGCTGCTCAGCTAAAATGATCGCAAATGCTTTAAACTGGCAACCAAAACCTGAAAGATGTGGAAGAAAGCGAAAAACTACCATTCGAATGGATAGAAGAATAGCCAAAATGGCAAGGAGTCAGCCAACAATCAGCTCCAGGAAGATCAAAGAAGGTCTAAAGTTACCTGTGAGTACTGTTACAATTAGAAGACGCCTATGTGAAGCCAAGCTATCTGCAAGAAGCCCCCGCAAAGTCCCACTGTTGAAAAAAAGACATGTGCTGAAGAGGTTACAATTTGCCAAAGAGCACATTGACTGGCCTAAAGAGAAATGACGCAACATTTTGTGGACTGATGAAAGTAAGATTGTTCTTTTTGGGTCTAGTGGCCGGAGACTGTTTGCCAGACTGTCCGATTGAATCCGATCGAGCATGCATTTCACTTGCTGAAGACAAAACTGAAGGGAAAATGCCCCAAGAACAAGCAGGAACTGAAGACAGTTGCAGTAGAGGCCTGGCAGAGCATCACCAGGGATGAAACCCAGCGTCTGGTGATGTCTATGCGTTCCAGACGTCAGGCTGTAATTGACTGCAAAGGATTTGCAACCAAGTATTAAAAAGTGAAAGTTTGATATATGATTATTATTCTGTCCCATTACTTTTGGTCCCTTAACAAGTGGGAGGCACATATGCAAACTGTTGTAATTCCCACACCGTTCACCTGATTTGGATGTAAATACCCTCAAATTAAAGCTGACAGTCTGCAGTTAAAGCACATCTTGTTTGTTTCATTTCAAATCCATTGTGGTGGTGTATAGAGCCAAAAATGTTAGAATTGTGTTGATGTCCCAATATTTATGGACCTGACTGTAAAAGTGAAAAAATGTCCAAATTGGTGTTTAAACACCACGTAGTAAAAGGAGGAAGTCATGTGACTAATGTGATGCAACGCGTAGGCACGCAGTGATGTACTTCCAGCGCGGACGCCATTTTACTACACCCATGCAAGTACACCCAGAACATGAGGTTCTAAATGCCTGTATACACATGAGTGAAATGTGAGTGCAAAATTGGAAGGTTTGGCTTTATTTTACATACATTAAAAAAGTAATACACTATGGGAGATTCTGCTTATGTTTTATAATGAAAAACTGGCTATACCACACCTGTATACCCGGAGAGGATTTTGCCACCATTACGTTTATTCCTGAGGGGGAGATCGCTGCAGGAAGAGGCGCGCAGTGACAGAGGAATCATGTACATGGAGGATCCAGTTTGGTGATCCTACAGGTGTTTTGACCCTTGCCTATCAAAGCAAGGAGGTGAGCGGGTATTTCAGCTATCTGTGGATATCCTTCTGTGGTCATGCACATCCACTATCCACTTGCACAAGTGCTTTATATATTGGACTACGTGGTGTTTAAACACCAATTTGGACATTTTTTCACTTTTATATATTATTTATAGTGTCATGCGTTTATTTTTTATGCATGTTTGTCACACATAGTGTGACATGGTTATTTCACTTCAGTGTTTACTGTCACGTGTGATTTATTTTGGTTTACACAATTTATGTGTTTGGGTAGACATTTGTTTTTTGGGGGTATTCTCTGGTTAGTATTGTAATAAGGAATTTTTTCCTGGATATATGTGCGTTTTTCTTTCGTCTTTAGTCCTATTTTTGGACAGTGTTTATTTATCAGTCCCATTTGGACTATTCTATCTTATTGTTTGAGTGTTCACCATCACTGTAGATCCTATTTAGGATCAATTCACATATACACCATACTTTGCGAGATTATTGGTGTATACACTTTAGTCATTGGTATCACTTTGAATCCTGTAGTGGATTGCAATTCACTTTCTTCACAAAAGGATCCCCAGAGGATCAGGTCACTTTCAGACACTAATAGTATTTACTTTTGATCTTATGTGGATCAAGTCACTTTTATATTTTTTTCGTTTATTTAATTCAGATTTTATCACATGTATTTTTATGTTTATGTTTTGTTATTCACTTATGCATGGTATTATATATTATATATTTTTATGTAACGCTTCATCATTTATTACATTTTTTGTCCATAGATCATTAGGTATATGATTAGATGTTAGCAGCTCCTTCTTCTTTTTATATTTGAATCTATTTTTTTAGTTAGGAGCGCAGGAGGTTTACACCAATATAACCTAGCTATGTATGATAGTATGTATCATAGTAATATTTTTCCTCATTTCCCTCACAGGTGAAAAACTGTGAATCTTTTCCCCATTCAACATTTAAAGTGTTACTAAACCCACAACAGTAAAATCAGTCTGTATATGCAGTAAAGCATGCTTGTTATATTCACTGTGAAACCTAAGGGGTTAATCCTCTGCATTGTGTAAAACGGCCATTTGAGCCTGATTGCTTTGTTGCTCCCCTTGTTTAAGTGACCACCTCTTATCTCCTGGTAAGACAGACTGAACCATAGGCATTTTGCACATGCTCAGTTTGGTGTGTATTGCTAGAGAGGTTGTTTTGTTTGTTTTTTCTTGGGAAAGTGCATGTGATCAGCACAGGGTCAATCAGCACTGTCCAGACAGAGGTCAGGGGTTTTGCATCCTCCTAGAGCAGAAATAAAACTGCTCCTAAGCTTTAGTCAGTGCTGTGCTGGACACTGATAGAAGCCACAAGACTGCTCTAACTGCTGATGAGAAAAGGTATTTAGCAGTTCCATGTTCTGTGGTAATTGCATTTCTATGTTCTGTGTACTGTGGGAGAGCAGATATAGTGAATGCAGGGTCCTGGGTTATGTAACACTTTAATGTATGCTGACATTTGATAAATATAGTGTATTTGTTTCCCTCCTTAGTGACATTGTGGGGTTCACAAATTTGTCTAGCACCAGTACACCATACCAGGTGGTAGATTTCCTCAACAAACTCTACACAACCTTTGATGATATAATTGACAACTATGACGTCTATAAAGTGGAGACGATAGGTGATGCCTGTAAGTTGCCATCTTAAATGATAATTTTCTATGTAGTTGCTGCATTGAAAATCATTCTAAAGTTATGTATACATGTGCCACAGTCCAGCAGATACTGAACTGCATGTGTAAACAGTGTTGGAAGTGCCGTGCCGACATCACCCATAGAACCTTTATACATTCTATCTATACTAACCCAGCCTGTACAAACACATATAATTTAGAGTCCAATTGGTAAAGCAACATATATTTATGAGGTCTATTAAAAAGAATGCACAACACAAATAACATAAAAATTGTTACCAATACTTACTGTAATTTTTCCTTCCCTGGCTTTTCCTCATGCCAACAAGACATCGGGTCAACTCCACCCCCTTGACCACGATAAGACATTCCTGAATAAATCAATAAAGGCAGCCAGTACGTGGTGCAGGTGTTCTGTAGATAGCTTGCAACAAACTAGGGAGGACATATGCCAGCATGAGTCTGTGCCAGAAAAGAAAAAATTAGGTAAGTATTGGTAACAATTTTCTGTTTTCCTGGCTCAGCTTCATGCCAGTAAGATCTTGGGACTAAACTAGCCAAACCCAAGGAGGGGAAAGGCACCAGACACCAGGTGCTGCTACAGAGAAAATGTAATGTCTAGACACAGCAGAAGATAACATGGAAGCTCCTATAACTCCAGATTGGGACGAGGCCACTAATTTGTAGTGCTTTATTAAAGTATAAGTTTAATGGCTTAGTCCTTGACAAATACATCAGAAGAGACCTTAGGTCTAGTCTGCTCAAACTAGACTCCTCCGTATCTGATGCGAAGGCAAAAACGCTGGAAGAAGCAATTCCCAGTTGAAGTGAAATTCTGAGGAGACCTTAGGCAGGAAACTTTGAGAAGGTCGAAGGGGAAAAAAAAGTTATAAAAAAAAAGCTATTAGGAGTGTTTTAGTAGCATTTAGCATTGAGTATCATTTAGTGGTTTTTTTTTTTATTCTGCTGGAAAAACGCTCCCAAAAACTCTGCAAAAACATTTTTTTTTTATGCTCCTAGGCGCTGAAGCTTGAAAAACCCTACAAAGCTAAAATAGTCTGCATGGACACATAGGATAACATTAGCTTCAAAGAGCAGAAAAAAAAATGCTAACAGCTTCTAGGAAGTTAAAAAACGCTAGTGTACATGGAGCCTTAAACATCTGCTGGTTGTTTACACTAGAGAGCTGGCAGCCTGCCAAGATCTGCTCTCAATAGTAAAAAAGTTCAGATTTCAATAACTGTGTTGTGAACTTTGAAAATGCATTTCTCCACATTGCCTTTGGCTACAGAGTTGAATGAGAACTCGCTTTGGTCTCTATGCACACTAGTTTTTTTTTAAGCTCCTAGAAGCTATTATCAGCATATTTGTTTTTCTGCTCCTAGAAGCTAAATAAAGTTATCCTATGTATTTGTGCACACTATATTAGGCTACTCCAAAGACATGCTGGTAGGTTAATTGGCTCCTGTCTAAATTGGCCCTAGTATGTATATGTATGAATGTGAGAGTTAGGCACTTTAGATTGTACGCCCCTTGAGGGTTAGGGACTGATGTGAATGTACAATATATGTATGTAAAGCGCTGTGTAAATTGACGGCGCTATAAAAGTACCTAGAATAAATGCAGTATGGCTTCTTGCAGCAGAATGCTGCAATGTCAGTGACTTATCTTGCTGAGACCACCGCAGCGAGAAACACTGTTTTTAAAGTGAGATACCATAACAGATTGTCTGTCTGAATTCTGAAAAAATTATGATTTCAACAACCTTTTTAAAACTAATGGCAAATCACACTTCAGAAAAAAAGGACGTATCGACTTATCGGAAGAATTTTGATGCTGCTCTGAGGAATCGGACTAGTAGAGGCTTCCTAAACCAGGATGTATCCGTAAGGGTCAAAAGTGCTGACACTTGAACTTTAAGGGTGTTGTAGCTTAGACCTGCATCAAGCCCAGATTATAGAAAATTCAACACATCAGCCACTGTGGGCAACTGGAAAGAAAACCTATGTTCAAAAGAAAAAGCTTTGAATCTCTGACACACTTGGTGGTATGTGACTTTGGTAGAAATTGTCCTAGCCGAAAGGAGGGTGGACATCACTGATTCTAAAAGATTTAAGCCTTGCAGCTTGCCTCTTTCAAATTCCATGCAGTTGAGACCAAATGGGCTGGATTGGGATGAGTCTTGTAATTCTGAAGGAGTAGGCCTTGGGCCTGAGGAAGTCTGATTGGTGGATACTTCGCCAGGTTAAACAGGAGGGAAAGCCATGGCCTCCTTGGCCAGAACAAAGCAATCATGGCTGACACCCCTTCTTCCATGATCTTCAGTAGTGACTATCAGAGCAGTTGGTGGAAAAAGGTCAACTTGCTTGAATTTCCACCTCTAGAAGTGGGCATCTTGAGCTAGAGCTTGTGGACAGAAGTAGCAGGAGAAGAACTGAGGTACTTGGCAGTTGATCGGAGTTGCCATGAGATCCAGCTTGGGAATTCCCCATTAAGCAAATATTTCTGCCAGATATCTCAAATGAAGTATCCACTCTGTGTGGTTTGAAAACCTACTGCTCAAACGGTCTGCCAGGGTATTCTGAAGGCCTGGTACATACGCTGCAGACAGATCTCTGCTGTGATCTGGAGAAGCTGCGGACTCATCGTTCTCTCCTTGTTTCATTATGTATCAAACATCAGAAGGTTGACTCTCTTGCCCTGAATGATGGGCAGAAATTTCTTAAGAGCCTCCGTGGCCCCTCTCAGTTCCAATAGATTGGAAGAACATGGAATCTGAGAACACCATGTTCCCTGAGCCCTCAGGTCCCATCAATGAGCCCCCCAACCCAGGAGACTAGCATCTGAAGTAATTGTGATCCAGTCTCCAGGGTTGGTGGGCCTGTCCAGAGAGAGATTGCCCCTCTGGCTCCACCAAAGGAGGTTGCTGAGAATGAAGAGAGGAATCTGTGATGCCACTGGCTCAGAAGGCAAAACTGGAATTTTCTCATCTGCCATTGCACCCACGGAACTGCTGGAATACAGGCTGTTAGAATGCCCAGGAAACTCATACCCCTGCTGACCAAAATCAAGGGTGAAGTCATCATCTCCATGGCTTTCAAGCACACCCACTCCATCTTGTCCTCAGGAAGGTAAACCTTGTACTGGAGTGTGTTGAAAGGACATACCCAATTATAAAAGGACAAGGAATGAGCTGGCTCTTCCCTGCATCTACCTTCCAGATTAATTCTTCCAGGGTCCTCAAGACTTATCCCACTGCTTTACAAGAACTTCCTTGAGCCAGGCAAGAACAAGGACATTGTCCAAGTAATGGAAAACACAGATGCCCTTCTCCTGAAGGTAAGCAATCACTGTGACCAGAACCTTCAAAAAAGGTCCTTGGAGCCAAGCTGAGGCCAAAAGGTAGCCACCTGAATTGGAAATGCCTGCCCGCAGAATGAAACCTCAGGAAACAATGCTAGTCCCTGGCCACTGAAATATGGAAGTTGGCATTCTTGAGGTCCATGGATATCATCCAATCGCTCTTTTGGATTACTTCGGTTATGGTTTTGAGTGACTCTATTTGAAAGGACTGCAGCTTGAGAAAAGAATTTAGGTACTTGAGATCTAAAACGTGGCACCATTTGTCTGATGTTTTCTGGATGAGAAAAAGAGGGGAATACATTCTTGACCCTCTTCTGACCTTGGAACCAGAACTATGGCTTGCAAATTCAGCAATTCTGTGATGTATAACTCTACCGATTGCTTGTTTACTTTCCCAGCAAACAGTAAGACCAGGGCAGCAACAGAACACAGGAAGCACCCATGCCTCCTCTAATGAGAGCCTGCAGCCCCTGAACCAATCTGGGACCAAATTCAGTAGCCAATCAGGACGGGAGCGATGTCACCACTTCGCACCACCTCCCTTGGATTGCAGGTGAGGAGCATTCTCGCGGAAAGAGGAGAAGCAGGGTGACACACAGGCAGACTCAGGCTACAGGGAAATCTGACGACATTGGCTGGTGTCCTAGCCAGCTTGGACCGCACACCACACATCCCTGAACCATGTCTGGAGCAGAGAGAGAAACAAGAAGGAAGGAGAAGGAACCCAGGGCACCCGCCATAATTCAGAAACAGCCTGCAGAATTTTATGATTCTGCTATTCTCTGGAACCAGGAGAGCCCACTATCAGGAGGATTTACCCCCAACAAGGGACCTTCCACTATGAAGATTGACTGGCAGGTGTATATCAAGGGATGTATCAGGAACATCCGGAGCGAGGACAGAATAAGAAAACACCTGCACCAGGTAATGGCTGCCTTTTTGTCAGGGACTGTGGGTCTCGCCGAGGCGCACAGGTCTACACATGCGCAGATTGCCTAGGCGCACCAATGTGCAGGCACTAGGACCTGGGCGCCCGCGGCGGCAATTGCGGCCGCACATGCGCACTCACGCACACAGGCGTGCGCCTGGCACCAATGAGGGTGCAGGGCGCACTATTTAAACTGGCCAGGCGGCGATCAGGTTGCCACAAGGTCTAGTTCCTGTATCTGTGTTTCTGAAGTGCGTTCCTGTTGTCGATCCTGCTTGTCCTGAACTGTGTTGACCTTCTCCTGCTCTGACCTCCTGCTCGTCCCTGACTGTTCCTCTGCCTGTCGTTTATATTACTATTGGATCGCCCGTAGCTGAACCTTGGCTCGTGACCCGGCTACTCTCTGTCTACTGCTTGGTACCTACCTGCCTCCACCGTTACCGACCCGGCTAGTCTGACCACGCTGACTCCTGACTGTCATCCATCCATCCCGCTCGGGACCTGGACTTGTCAGACTCTTCACATCAGGCTCACCCCTGGCACATACCCTCAGTGGGACCCCTCTACCACGGTTGGGTGCACTCAGGGGTCGCTACCTGGTTTCAGTCTTGCACCAAGTCCATCCCCACCATCAGGGGCTCTGGTGAAAAGGCAAACTGGGACTTAGACGCCACGTCTTGGGGAATCCCGCTCCGTGGATCACTAGAGATCCCGCCGGGCGGTGTCTGACACTTTTATTGATGTATTCAGGAATGTCCTATTGGGGGTTAAGGGGGTGGAGTTGACTTCAGGTCTTGCTGGCATGAGGCTGAGCCAAGAAATATAGATGTGTAAGAACAGATTTTCCTTGCAGCACTCTTATCCAGCTAATATACTGTACTGTAATGTGCTGTCCCAATAGAGGGCACATTACAGGGTTATGTTTACTGTATACTGCTATTACTCTCTCTAGAATGCCACCTGTGTGTTTTTTACATATACAAATCATATGTTTTCTTTTAAGACATGGTTGTTTCTGGAGTGCCTAAAGAGAATGGTATTTACCATGCCAGTGAAATTGCAAGCATGGCTCTAGACCTAGTTGCTGTGTGCAAGACATTTCGAATTCCTCATAAGCCAAACACTCAGCTCAGGATCCGTGCTGGAATTCATTCTGGTATGTTATGCCACTCCACCAAACTTATTGATTACAATACTGCATGAACATTTACTATTTCCAATGAAAGCGGGGCACTAAGGAATAATACTAATAGTGTTGAGAATAATAATTTTTTAAAACCGTCTTTATTTAACAAAGTATATAAGACAGAGAAAGGGTCAAGTTTCAGAAATATTGTCATGACATATTGTATTACAACAAAAATATAATGGTTTCACATTCTTTGTCTATATTATTTCCATCCAAACTGTCAAGCCCTTGAATGGCTGGTATCATAATTGATCATATATGCACCATAACAACTTAGCTATAAAGGATGTGAGGATTTAGTTCCACTTTAAGTAAGGTGTGGACAATTCTAAAGTGTGCCTATGTAATAAATTAAAGGTGAAATGAGGGTGTTATCTGGAGCATTTGAACTTAGAAACTAGGTTTGATGTCATTAAACTGTATTAGCCATTAAGACACAATAGGATTTGGCCTCCATAGTTCAAAAGAAATGTTAAGAAAAAGTGAAGAAAGAAGGGAATAGTATTTTTATAATAGCAGTTGAAAACTGCAGAAGATGGCATGTCACGATGGCAAGGACCTACAGTGGGTACAGTTTATATTCCACTTTTTGATAACACAATCTCTGGGCATTGTTATAGTAAGCTGTCCAAAAGTTGCCTGGTAAATTGAATGGATCAACTCTATGTAGGGGGAAATGGGGAAACCTCTGCAACACCAAATGAATATGCACAGTTTCATTATTACCAACAAAATGTGTGCTAATGGGGAAGTTCAAATTATAAGAAGAAAAACATGATGTTGTATAAAGATTTTGGCCTGTAACAGGAAAAAAAATCATGTCTTAGCTTCTGAAGGTACCAGACATTGAGCCCTTATCACTGAATCCTCCCCATCCACCTTTTAGTTTCAAGAAAAGCTCTGAAATGCTGAGAAGGGAATTTCCACCAGTTATTGCAGGTGTTGCTGCAGCTTACAAATCATAAAAAGATTAGGTACATGCAGCCTATTCTTTAGTAAGTTTACTGGTGATTTGTTATTCTGACAGGAGTTCTTGTTTAAGGGGCAAGTTTTGGCAGACACAAGGCAGAGATAAATATATCCCTTTACTTCCTTTTCTTTTATTTCTTATTCCTTTACAAAACAATAGATTATCCACTGTGTAATGTAAATGTTTTCCTTTAGGACCTGTAGTTGCTGGAGTTGTTGGGACAAAAATGCCAAGGTACTGCTTGTTTGGAGACACAGTGAACACAGCTTCGAGGATGGAATCAACAAGTGAAGGTAAATTTGGCTACAAGCCATGCCTTTTATATTGCATCGCACTGTAGGCACTACTTTTTGTCTATAATTAAACACCTAGACAATTTAAAATGATAACTTTTATAGCATCATAGTTTAGTGTTGTGTATTTTGTTTCTTGAAGTATAACTCAGTTTTCTAAATGGTTAACTGTTCCCAATAGTCAGAATGTAAGCCATATCTTCCTACTGCAAGTTACATACATCCTCAGTAGGAAAGATTGCCGACAACCTCTTTCTCATCAGTCCCATTCTTTCTTACCTGAATAGGATTTCAATGAATGTTACTATCTTTGTGGTGAATCACAGAAGCATTACAGAAAAAAACAAATATCGCCTTGAGCTAAACTAAAAAAATTACATTGGGTTGCCACTTTTAAGACCAGTACTGGGTCACACTGTATGCATTTGCTACATTTGTGTATGAACAGTATTTTCTTTTTAATTCCCTGTTAGCAATATGCCCTGTGAAAAGGCTTGTCCACATGAGTGAGCACATTTTACCACAATTACTGATTTGCAAGAAGTGGTCCTGATGCATTGTAATGACACATCACACTGTTTTTTTCCTTTTTTTCAATGTTCTTGAAATGTCACAAAATTACATTTTATTCATGTGTATGCACTCCACGGTGTTGCAATGTCATGTAACGCGTTGCAATACATGTGGTCACAAAAAGTACATTGTGTCATAGTTTTCAAGGAAATATTACTGTAGCATAGTGATATAAATTGAACTCATAGGGTTTGCCTGGGACTGCACTAGGCATGGCTGCCTAGTGCAGCCCAACATATATGGTGTGAATGAGCCCCAAAGAGTAACATTTAACCAAAGTACCAGCGTCTCATCCTGCCCTGGCTTATCAAAGGCTACAGGAGGCACAAAATGAGCAAACCTGATGATGTTGTGCAGATTTAAAGTGTTACTACACCCACAACAGTAAAATCAGTAAAAAAAAGTAAAGCATGCTTGCTATACTCACTGTGGAGGGTAATCCTCTGCATTGTGTAAAAACACTGTTTGATCCTGACTTATCTGATCCTCCCCTTCTTCCCGTGTCCCCCTCTTATCTTCTGATAAGACATATCATGTGGAATCACTCTGAACATGCTCAGTTTAATGTGCATTGCTAGAGAGGTTTTTTTTTTCTTTGGAGAGTGTATGTGATCAGCACAGTGCCAATCAGCACTGTTCAGACAGAGGTCAGGGGTTCTGCATCCTCCTAGAGCACAATGAAAACTACTCCTACAAGGTTTAACCAGTGCTCAGCTGGACACTGATAGAAGTCACAAGACTGCTCTAACTGCTGATGAGAAAAGGTATTTAGCAGTTTAGATTTACTAAAATAATTGCACTTCCATGTTGTGTGTACTGTGGGAGACCAGATATAGTGAATGCAGGGTCCTGGGTTTAGTAACACTTTAACTAATGAAAGGGCTGTATTAACATTTAAGCCAAATATTTCAGTGGTGGCTAATACCAATGTCTTAATTCAATACCTTCTCCTGTAAAAACTGAACCCACAAACAAGCATTACTTCCATGGTTCCAAGTGATGGTGAAAAGCTGTGCTACTGTTGTTGCAGTACGTGAAAATACTACATCTCTTCTGTAAATAAATACTTTTTCAATTTATTCATGGCTGTGGGAAGATTCATCTGGGCTGTATGAGATGGCAAATGACATATCAATCTACGCTAATAATAGTAATTATCATCTCTGTATAATTTTAACACATTTTGATATGACACAAGTTTAATTAGTTACTATTTGGAAACAAAGACTTTAGGTAAATGGTTATAAAATTAATTCCAGAAGCACTTGAAAACCCTATAGGCATTAAAAATGATAGGCGATAATGTGATCATAACTACCCTGACCACAGGTCATAGACGGGTCATTATGTGGTAAACTTTTAGGAGTAATAACTTTTAGGAGTATAAATTCTGGTGATAACAACATCAAAGTGATTTGAACAACATTCTCCACATGAAAACAAGGGACTAATGGGCCTATTAGGCATGACAAATGACTCAGAGCAATATATTCTCCATGAAGCATCTTCAACTGCACCTTTGAGAATGTTGTTAATAAAAACACATTCCATGACACTGGGAGCCAGAGCAGCAAAAAACCCAGAGTCAGCTGAAAACCAGTCTGAGAGAAACACTTGTTCTGAGCTTTTTTAGCCCTTCTAAACAACTGGAAATACAACCTGATCCATACAAAGATGGATTTGAAGAATGTCTCTTTAAAAAAGGAAAAACAATTTTTAATACATTAAGGGCATTAAAATAAATAAAGTTAAAGTGTTACTAAAACCAGGACCATGTATTCACTATATCTGGTCTCCCACAGTACACAGAACATGGAAGTGCAATTATTTTAGTATCTTGAAAAAGTATTCATACCCCTTGAAATGTTCCACATTTTGTTATGTTACAACCAAAAACATAAATGTATTTTATTGGGATTTTATGTGGTAGACCAACACAAAGTGGCACATAATTGTGAAGTGGAAGGAAAATGAAAAATGGTTCTCAATATTGTTTACAAATATATGTGAGAAAAGTGTGGCATGCATTTGTATTCAGCCCCCTTTACTCTGATACCCCTAACTAAAATCTAGTAGAACCAATTGCCTTCAGAAGTCACCTAATTAGTAAATAGTGTCCACCTATGTGTAGTTTAATCTCAGTATAAAATACAGCTGTTCTGTGAAGCCCTCAGAGGTTTGTTAGAGAACATTAGTGAACAAACAGCACCATGAAGATGAAGGAACACACCAGACAGGTCAGTGATAAAGTTGAGGAGGCATTTAAACCAGGGTTAGGTTATAACAAAATATACAAAGGTTTAAACATCTCACAAAGCAATGTTCAATCCATCATCCGAAAATGGAAAGCGTATGGCACAACTGCAAACCTACCAAGACATGGCCGCCCACCCAAATTGACAGGCCGGGGAAGGAGAGCATTAATCAGAGAAGCAGCCAAGAGGCCCATTGTAACCCTGGAGGAGCTGCAGAGATCCACAGCTCAGGAGGGAGAATCTGTCCACAGGACAACTATTTATTGTGCACTCCAAAAATCTAGCCTTGATGGAAGAGTGGCAAGAAGAAAGCCATTGTAGAAAGAAAGCCATAAGAAGTCCCATTTGCAGTTTGCGAGAAGCCATGTGGGGGACACAGCAAATACGTGGAAGAAGGTGCTCTGGTCAGATAAGACCAAAACTGAACCCTTTGGTTTAAAAGCAAAACTAACACTGCACATCACCCTAAACACACCATCCCCACTGTGAAACATGGTGGTGGCAGCATCATGTTGTGAGGATGCTTTTCTTCAGCAGGGACAGGTCAAAGTCAAGACCTAAATTCAATTGAGAATCTGTGTCAAGACTTGAAAATTGCTGTTCACAGATGTTCTCCATCCAATCTGACAGAGCTTGAGCTATTTTGCAAAGAAGAATGGGCAAAAATTCCACTCTCTAGATGTTCAAAGCTTGTAGAAACTTCCCCAAAAAGACTTGCAGCTGGAATTGCAGTTTTTTCATCACCTGAGTCAATACTTTGTAGAACCACCTTTCGCTGCAAGTCCGTCACAAAAATAAACCACATATGAAAAAAAAATATATTTATTATATAATATTCTGGAATTGCTAGAAAATCTAGTTTAATGTCTTGGCTTTTGAAGATGCACATTATTCCCAGTTGTTGACTATGTTTAAATTATCATATAAAGTTAGAATTTACAAATTTCTATATAAAATTCCTCCAAACATCACTGCCAAACTCAAGATTGCATTCTCAAGGTATGGTATAGGAGGCAGTTTCAGATAGCATGCCTAACTCCAGCAGAGTGATGCATAATTTTGCTTTCAAGTTGGATGTTCACCTAGGTCACTTTAGACTTAGATACCCTCTAGACAAGATGAGGAAGTAATGCAGACCACAAAAGTTCTCTACAAAACGTCCATCAGCGTGGATGAATCTAACCTTTTCTATAGCTTATTTCCATAAAAATGATCTATCCTGGATGCAAATGTTACACCTGTTCAGCTAATGATCGATATAATGTTGCAAATATCCTAACAGAAACATGGATTCCGTTTTTTTTTTTTTTTTAAGCTTCTGTTCAATCAAGTTTTGATTGAAAAAACACAAAACAGAGCCTGCTGGGTATACCCTGGCTCGAGGTGGATACAATACTGTTTAAAAAACACTAGAAATGTCATAAGATTAGTTCTAAATGAACAATGCCGGCGGGTGGTAACCTTGCTCAGAGTACCAAGGCAAAGAGAAGGATAAGTGCAAAATAATGTAGTCCTGTCCAATACCACATTAGGGGACACATAACAATGAGGTGGGGGGAAAGGGGGTAACTTAGCACAAGGGGATCACATGAGGCCATAGAACCAATATCATATAACAGGAGGTGAGACAAGAGGTAGGCATTTTGAGAATATACAACTTAGGCAGCTGACAGATCTGAATCTATCCAGACACTCCAGGCTTTATTGAACTTCTCGGTGCACCCTCTAGAGTGGTATTATTATCATACAGGATTTATATAGCGCCAACAGTTTGCGCAGCGCTTTACAAAATGAAGGTAGACATTACAGTTACAATACAATTTGGTACAAGAAGAAATAGAGGGCCCTGCTCGTTATGTTGCTTTGTACAAGGGAACCAGAGAGTTAATGAGCAACTTCCATAGAACAAAAGTGGGGCAGTAGAAGACTTCCATTGTAGCACTATTGTCTTTCTGACACAATACAGTAATAAACCGTGTAAGGTCCTAACAGCTCTGGTATGTGCCAAGGCACCCACAAAGCCCAGATCTGTTCATGTTCCATCTAGGAGATGGGGTAAGAATTATTAAAAGTTGCGTGTCCCGCACTGAAAAAGCACTTCCCTTCTCCAGTCCTTGTATACTACAATCCCATGCTCAGTTCTGAGCAACCTGTCATCACGGTCAGACATTGTTACATGCAGATGTATTCCAAGCCTAGATCTTTAGATGCTCCAATGGTGAGCAGTGCTGTGAAGATGAGATCGTATCTTAAAAGTCTGCTGTCTAGCTCAGTGTTTCTCAACTTTTTTTCAGTCAAGGCACCCTTTAAAATTACGGACAGTCCTGAAGCACCCTTTAAAATTATGGATGGTCTTGAGGCACCCCATTCTAAAATGGGGGCCTCTAAACTGTCCATAATTTTAAAAGGGCAACCCATTCTAAAATGTGAAAAACTATTCTAATACTTTTACCTAATGCAGCAGCATCCACACACATAGGACACCCAACATTAGAGTTGACTTATTCTTCCAAAGCAAATACACTTTTCCACATGGATACTGACTAGTATTCCAATGTTTCTCCTCTCCCTCAGTTTTTCTCCATCACTGAGCTAATGTGACCCCAGCGATGACAGAAAGGGTAGGGGAGGTTCAAACTAGAATGCTGTGTAGGCAGCTGACATCCTCCTTATCAGCTGATGATGTCATTGGATGTCAGGACACAGACGGCAAGAAGGTCGTAATGGTGCACAATGAAAACCTGTGGCTTTGTGTAACTAAAAGGCAGGCTTGTTCCACCCGCTGGCTTGTATACAAGTTTTGGGCAATTTTTAGACATTTAGCCAAGGCACCCCTGAAGACTCCTCAAGGCACCCCAGGGTGCCTAGGCACCCTGGTTGAGAAAGGCTGGTCTAGCTTCATCTTTTTAAGAAGTCATTACAGGTTTATTTTAAAGAAAACCCAGGCTACTTTTGTTTCATTGTCTATTTTAAAATGTATATTGTCAATATAATTACTATATTGTCAATAATAATTAACTATGAAACAGAATGATTACATATTACAAAATGCAGTGCAAATGTGATGTTCATGGGACTATTTGATTTAATGCTGGAATTTCTGTGTAAACTTAAGTTGTTATGTATAACAAAGGTGAGAAGATAAAATGCTCTTATTCTTCTCTGACAACATTTCTTATACCATCTGTCCAAACATAACTTCAAAGCTATCACTGGTGGAGAAAAAAAAAGTGACAAGTGTCTGTTGACAGTCTGTTCTGAAAGCTTAGCCTCCAACACCAGTCACACCAACACACTCTAGAAGCTACTACTTCATTCTGTGCATTTTTCTGCTTTGAAATGAGTTGCTTCACTGGTGTTGCACAACTGTAATCCTGAAGGAAATCCTACAGGCCAGATTTCAAGATAATGCACAATTTAGACTGGCCATAGATGGGTAGAATTTCAAACAAAAAGTCTTAGGAATAGAAACTTTTTTTGTTTACTTTTCTAATTATTAGTGTGGTCAATTCGACGTTCAGTTTTGAACACAGTGACAAGAAGATTCAAAGGAGCTGGGTGTAATTTTATTTTCTTCCTAACGGACAAATCTGAGTGTATGTGGTTTTTCTTCAGTAAGGTCCGTTCC